ATAAAAATAAGGATAAAACATTTTTTCAGCTAACACATGTATTTTGTACACAATTAAGATAAATGTCAAAGAAGCTTAATTGTGTAGCCTGCACACCTCAGTGCTCCTCGCTTCAGTTCAAATAAACAGCTGAAGCTGTAAATCAGAAAATGATTGAATAAACCTTCTTTGAAGAGGAACAAAGGAAGATTTAAATTAGACAAAAACCACACACCATATGGAGGAATGTCTTTGCATTATGAGCACATAACACATCGTGTTGTGCCTTTGCATCACGGCTGCATAATGATGCATGTTCACACCGTGCTAGGCTACACCACAGGCAGAATCCCACTGTGCTGCAGATTAACAAAAACACACACACACATCTAAAAACAGCCAAAAGCACTTAGGCTGTGCTCTCTGTGCTCCAGCGGCAGAGGCAACACCTGCTCATTGAGAACAATCGTCTAACTGTAGGACACATTTTTATGGAAATGCTCTCGCTTCCCTTGAGAGAGCGTTGTTTAGGGATTACATCCACATGCTGGAGGAGCAGTGTGGCTCTCAGGGCTACCCGCATGCAGAGCGCCGGTATTTAACACACACCCAACGAGCAGGAGGATGACGAAACACAGCCTCCATTTTGGCTCCAGCAACTCACAGGGGGCGGCGTGGCAGCCTGCCTGGCTTACTGACTGCCTGGCTTACTGACTGCCTCGCTGATTGATTCAGTGATTGAGCTCACACACATTAACTGCCTGTAGATGAGTCTGTGGAGCTGCAGAGGAAAAAAGGCTGAAGTGAGTAAGAGCAGAGAGGTGGGAAAGGGGAGGGTGGGATGTAAATCTGTGAAATCAGTGATAATTACAGCGAGTGCACAAAAAGCCACATCACAGTTGGCAGAGATGGTGCTAATCATCCTGACACAGTCTGCACCCAGACACCCTGCTCACGTGTGCGTGTGTGTGGATCTGTTTGAGACGCGTGTGTGTGTGTGTGTGTGTGTTGTGCTGCACAGCCTGTTTGTGTCTAGGGTTTCTCTCAGCGTTGGCAGGCAACAGTTGTAACCTCTCACATTTCATGGCGATGAAACATATATTATTTCCAAATAAACTGCAGAGCAAACATGTAATTTATTCCTATTGAGGCGTCGCCAAATCTCATCATTTCACATTTACAGAATAAAGTGATAGCTTAGAGCAAAATAAACGCATGATAATTTACAATAAATGTGTAAACCCTTTTGATTTAAATCTGTAATGATAAAATAAAATTATTTATCTGTACAAAATAAAGAACTTAAAATATTAATTTTAAATAAATCGATAAGCAAACATCCTTTATGCACACCCAGGCGAAAAAATAATATACTAAGTATATTAAATCTTAGTATACTTTAGTACACTTCAAGCCACACTAATCATCAGTACACTTAAAGAGTGCTATTTTGGAACAACTAATTTAATACTAAATATACTTTAGTTGT